CTTTTTTCTTATTGATATGTTTTTATTCAATGATGATGATGATCAACAAACCAGAATTGTTGTTATTTTTTTTCCCACCAACATTATTGTTGATTTCAAACCAGAAAAAAATCAGATTGAATCCTGTCGCAACCCCAAACACAACATACAAAACAAACACCCAAATAATGTTTGGTTATTGCAAACAAACAAAAAAATGTCCAATGTTTCAATCAAAATATCAAACGAAAGAAGGAACAGAGACAGTGACAGAACCGAATATGATGATGATCATTGGTTTAGCAAACGAAAATGAAATTGAAAATGAAAAAAAAAAACAAAACAAGGACCAAAAGTTTCAGTTTTTGGTTTGGCGCCGTATATTTTTATTCTTGTGTGTTGGATCACATAACGTTCCCAAAAAAAAGTGAATAGACGTATGAGTGAGAATAGAGAATTGTCGGAAATTCTATATATAATAATAACAGATAAACGACGGAAACCCGACCGTTTACCCGTACGGAATATTCTTCGCACCAAAATCTACAGTAGTAGTAGCATTAGTTGGAAATAGTTGTTTCAATGTTTGGACAGTTTGGGTTAGTGGTAGTTCATTCGACGAAATGGAAATTTGAAATTTTTTTGTTTCTGGAAAATTTTTAAAAAATCTTGCTCGATTTTTGAATATTATTCGTGAATTCATCTTGCGTGCTTTTGTGTAATCATCGTTATCGTAATTTTAATAATATTTTTTTCTTTTCACCTGGCAGGTGTATTGAAGATTTCTTTATCAGAAAAAACTAAAACTAAAATAGATGTTGTTTGGTTAGATAATTAATCTCGTTTGTATGAGAAAGAAACATGACAAATGAACACGTGTGTGGCAAATGTGCATAATTAATTATTATCTGTTTTTTTTTTGTTTTTTGTTCATTATCATTATCATATAATTAAAACATCATTTTATTTTCAGTTTCATTCAAGGTTAATGTTTCGAAAAGAATATTCAAAGGTGTGATTCAAATCGAAAATTCTGGTTTTTTTCCTTGTTTTTTTTTCTTTTTGGAACAAACAAAAAAGAATCAAGATTAATCGATTGTTTTTTTTTGGAATAAAATTAGAAATTTCCTAGTTTCAAATACAATAAACAAAAGCTAATTTTATGTCTTTTTCTCTCGCTTTTCTCTAAAATAATGATCATTTGGGGAATATTCCTGGGATCAAAAATTCTGGAAAATTTTTTTTTCAAAATTTACAATGATATTATAATGATATACTAAAACAGGAGGGAATCGATTGTTGATTGGAAAATGTAAAGGCAAGAGAAAAAAATTTTACGATTATTTCTTGTTGGTTTCCGATGATGATGATCAGATACATTAACGAACGAACGAAAATCTTATCCATTTATTTATAGATCTTATTTAAGGGAAAAAAATTATCATATAATAGTGATCATCAGTTGAAGAAAAGATTACCCAAAAATGATAAACCGAAAGAATTTCATTTCATGTTCCTGCAGGAACAAACTATGAATAAATTTTATTATAAAATTATGTAAATTTTTGTCAAATGACAATCGATTATGATCAGAGTGATCAGAATCATGTATTTTATCAGATGAAATCTTATCTAACCTTGATTTAACCGGAAAAAAAATCAACGGATAATGTGATTGAAATCATTTTTTCGAAAATTAGGCGCCATCTTTTGGTTTCGAATCAAGATTATCAATTTTTTCTGATTTGTAAGAAAATTTTTATTTACATTTTTTATAATTACAATTACAAAATGATAAATGTTTACAAAAAATAAAAAGAAAATCATGAAAAAAATAATTTGGTAGGATGAGCTTAGATAGATGATATCATCGATATAAATTTACTGGAATGTATTCGTTTCACCTTGATGAAATCATTATCATGTTTGTTTTTAAAATTATCAATGTTTTTTTGAAGCTTGCATGAATCTTTTATTTTCAAAAATTCAGAATGGTCCATACTCTTTATTTTATGTGGATTCAGAACGATCAGATCGGGTTATGGAAAGTTTAATATTCTTTTGATTTCGGAACTTAGCTTGTTTTTATTTCGAATTTTGAAATTATTGCTGTAGAGAAGAAAAAAACAAAAACAAAAATTAAAAATCAAAAATTAAAAGTTCAAAGTTAAAATCAAATTAAAAATTATTATACTTTAAATTTCGGAACTTTTTCAATACAAAAGTATTTTTCTAAAAGATTTAAATCTGTAAGGATGGTTTACTTGTAATATATTGTCTCTGATGATGAATGCTACTAAATCATAAATGAATGTTATTACAAAAAAACGAAGAAAAAAAACATTTTTCGATTTTTCAATATTTGAAAAATCGAAAAATCGACTGTTGTGTGTTCTGTTTGTAAACACAGGAAGAAAGAAAAAATCGAACTAAACAAAATTCGAATTTACAATGTGAGAAATTGTAAGTAAACGATAACGCAGTATTCGTATGTGTAACGTCTTTTACGAATAGAATTTTTTCGATAAATAACGAACAACACGTGGCCGAACAACAAGTTTCGTTTGTCTTCCGTTTTTTTTCTTTATAAAATTAAAGTCAGAAGTCGTTTTTGTTTTATTTCAGAATCTTAGAAATAGAAATAGATGCAACACAACGGATTTGAGTAAAAATCATGTCCTTAAGATTATCGTTCCATTTAATCGCATGAAACTTTTTGCATCAGTTTTTCAATTGATGTTGCTGATGAGCCACTATGGTAATCAATCAGTCAACTTCTTATATATCTCGTGTGCTGTCCTACAGCCCATAACTCTTTGAAGATTTTCATCGTCCAGAGTACTATTATAATTGACTAACGAATTTCAAAAACAAGATAATATCAATAACAACGCCAAAATCTATCAAGCAAAAGCGTTTGATCCAACCATAGTTCTTAAAAAAGTTGATAAAATCACTGATCACAACTGTTAGAACTATTAAAGTTCTGTAAATCGAACATTCGTATTATTATAAAATGTTAACAGTTAAAATAAAATGTTATTAGTTGTAATTAGCAATTCAATGTGTTTATGTCACGATTGTTGTGACGGGGCAGACAGCGTGTTTGATGTTTTGAGAAAAGTGTCGTTTTTGTCTGTGTAATATGTTTTTGTAACAGTTTTAATAAAAATTAAAAAAGAAGTTTTCTTGTTTACCGTTTTAACGTGACATTTATACAATATTATTTCTTACATTTGGTAGCAGAGCGTGGTTAACAATGAAGAAATTGCTAAAATTTTGGCTCGAATTACTGATAGACTGGATATTATTGAAATCCGTCGTAATATTCCAAATCAAAATGTTACGAACAAAGGACACGATTCTTTCGTCCTTAATCAAGTGACAAAACACAATGGTACCAACATCAAATAATGGTTATCAACAGTTAAATCAGCGTTTAAATCGTGTGGCTTCTCGCGTTTTCTTGAAAGCGAAATTTCACAATCTGATCCTGAATTCAAATCCTATGACAATTGTTTAGGAACTATCCGTTAAATGTTCGAGCCTAATAAACTAGAAATAATTGACCATTGTAAAACCTGGCAGGGTGTGACACCAACTAGATGGCACAACATGCGAGGTCAAACATCAAAATTGCCGCCAAAATCGTTGGGTATAAAAGTCACCACAACATCATACACAAAAAGCGATTAGCAGCGTTCAGCATCGATTATCGTCATCATCGTCGCCAACCAAAAACATCGTCGTCAATTAACATCGCATTATTGATTTGTTTATTTATTTTATCGTCTTTGCATTTCATACACATCTTTGTTTTTATCATGTTTCTTGTTTTTTTACATCTAATTTATAATCAAATAAATCCTTAAATTATACCAAAATCGTGCACCGGTGGAAGTTTTTAAACATTTGGTCCTATATGGTCATAAAGCCAAATCCAAATATAACAGACTAACAGCTCTAAACATTTCTTTTGAATCTTCTCTCCAAGATTTCCCAGTAACAAACTATAAAAAAAATAAAAATTTTAGAACTATTCTTGTTTGTTAAGCTATATATTCAACAGTTTCAAAATTCAAAAAAATTTTTGGCTACAAACTGAAATTGTTGAACTAGAAAACTTTGCAGAATTACGAACTAATGATGACATTTGATTTTTAAAAAAATCAAAATTTTGTAGCCTAATTTTTTTTTTGAAAAATCACGTTTACAAAAGTAGAAATTACAAAAAAAAAAAAAATAATAAAAACAGGAACAAATTTGAATAACAAAATACGAAAATGAATTCAATTGGCAATAATGAATGATATTAATGTTTGTTAATATCTTTCTCTCTCTCTCTCTCTCTCTCTCTCTCTCTCTCTCTCTCTGTAACTAACAAACTAATCTAAATATGGAAAAAAATTGTTTATT